ATCTCAAAGATGCCAAAATGAGTCTAGTTCTAGATGAGCTAGCTGGTGGGGCTCAGCCATAGGAACATACTGCTGCTCAGGTCCTAAGGCAGTAAAGCCCTTGGACCTTCACAGGCTTAGGCCTTGGAGGCTGGTTTCAGAACAGGAGCTGTGCCCTGGAGTCCCTGGCAAGGGCCCTTGCAAAAAGCTCATGCTTTTAAAAGCCTCTTTCAGGAATTCAGGCTTCCTTCTGTTCTCTGCCCACCCACTCTGGTTAAGGCGGCGAGTGGGAGGGCTCGCCAAGGATCGTGGACACAGGGTAGGCCCTGGTACCTTGGGTTTCAGGCTACTTATCACTTTTCTTATAGGAGCATAGCCAGGAGCAGATGAGGCAGGGCAGAGGGCTGGTCCCTCCTTTCCTCCCATCCTCCCTCAAACAAATTATCTCCAGTAGTGGGAGGAAGCCAGACTATGAGCCTTGTCGTGTGTATCCTCCCTGAGCTTCTGCTCACTCTCAGGGCCAAGAAGCTCCCAAGATGGGGCCCTCTCTTTAGAGGCAGGGCCATAATCTGAGGAGCAGTGCTGGATTACAGGCATTGTATGTTGTAAGCAACCATTAAGCAGATTTTGGGTGCCTGCCTGTTAATGCAGTTAGGCCCCCCCTTGGGTACAGTGGAAGGAAGAGCTCGAGGAACCCCAGCCCAACGGACCCTGCTTGCTCCGGTAAGTTGTAGTGGCCCTGGGGTGAGGACCATGTTAAGGGACCACTGGGAGCTTATGCCCAAGCCTCTCCGTCTTCTCCCTGCAGGTGGCTCTGGAGCCTCTTCCTGCCTTCAGCCCGGGCCTTCTCCAGTGGTATTAAAGATAAGCATGATTCCTCTACCTTCGGCTCTTTTCGGAGGCCTCCTGCCCCCCAGTGCCCAGTCCCCAAGGGGCCCCAGTCAGGTGGTCGACTATCACTCCTGCAGTTCTTGGGGAACTAAAAACCAGCACTTAAAATAAAGCTGAATGACGGAGTCCTGCGCTCTGTGGTAAATTGCCGTGTAGGCTGCAGTGAGGTACCGCCACTCGGGCCGTAGGAGCCCAGCTTGATCATTTCATGTCTGACAGCCTCCAGGAAACCAGCTGTCAGGCACATGGGGCCTCAAGTGCCAGCCGGTGACAGGGCTGGAAGAATACTAACACTAGGCACCCCTGCCCAGGTGCAGTAGGCCACTCCCCCTAGGTTGCACGGGCTGAGGGGAGCAGGTGCCCTCCAGCAGGTTCCCCCCACTTCTGAGGCTCTTCTTCTGGGCCCAGAGGGACCCCTGGCTTCTGTCTTTCCACTGGCTAGCCCTTCCGTGCCCAGTTCACACTTAGCTCTCCACAAGCTGAACTGCTAAGAAAGACTTTATTAATCAGGTAGGGGGAGGAGAAGGCAAGGAGCCTGGAGACGGACACACCGGTACCAGGGGTTACAAACAGTAAGAAACACTTTATTATAACTTTACAACATATAAATAGCTTGGGTCAAATCTGTGCTTTCTGGCAGCCGGGTATCAAGTCCCCTCCCCTGCGGGCTCCTGCCTTCCTTCACATTGCACTGTTCGTTTGGTGGCTCTGGCCCTGGGGCCCGGTGGTGGTGGAGGTTGGAGAAGAGGGG